GCCGAGCAGGAGGAGGCAGCCCCAGAGCAGCGCTGAGGGGCGCCGAGACGGGGCTGCGGCCCCGCGCGCCATCCCTGCCGCTTCGCGGTCGCAGCCTCCACCTCCTACCGCCGGCCACCGGACCGCCCAACCTGGCCGTCACCTGGCAGGGGCGGGGCGCTCGTGACCTGCGCCGCCATTTATTAACGGAGAAGGAGCCCGCCCCGCCCCCGGACTGAAGCCGGAGGCTGCCATGTTGAGAAAGGGCAAGGGAAGCCGCCGGGGGTGGGGAGCGCGCCGCCATGCCGGAACGGGGAGGGGAAGAGAGGGCGAAGCCGCCCGGGGTCCATGTTAGGTTTGGGTTCGGTGCGTGGAGGCGTGCCGGGGTTGCGGGTTGCGCGCCGTGAGCACCGGAGTTTCGTGCGGCACCAGCGAGCTCATTGTAAAACGCAAGCGCTTCCCTCTCTCCGGGGCCTCTGGCAAGACACGTGTGTTTTCCCAGGAGCTGTTTCCCATTAAACCTCTCAGTTCCAAGCTGCCACCAGCTCAGCTGCCCGGGCACCTGCCGGGCACCAACCGCAGTTGTCCACACTCAGTCCTCAGCCCCTGCCTCGGCTGCCTCCAGATCACTGAGGCAGAGGCAGCCGAGGCGCTTTGCGTGAGGAAACTCCTGCAGGCTGCCGGAAAGATCTTTGGTCTTGCCAGGGGAGCAGGCAGTGCTGCAGGGAGCGGCCGCAGAGGAGGCTTGTCCCAGGAGCACAGCCCCAGGGCCTCCCCGGGAAACAACAGTTACCCCTGGTTGGCACCAGGGCCCACAGCATCTTCAGGGCCAGGGGAGCCATCCTGGAGCGGGGTTTGGGCTTGCACTGCTAACGAGGCAGAAACACCTCTTCTCTTTGGCAGCACTTAGTGCCGAACACCACCATGCAACTGGGTAGAGATGCATTGACAGGTTCCCATGGCTTTTACCCCGCTCACTGCCCAAGACCACTGCCCAGAAGTAGTCAGGAGATGGCGGATCACCCTATAAAAATCCCTAGGGCAGAGCTTTCTGCACACTGGCATCGCCGCTGTGCAGAAACAGATGCTGAAGAGCTGAGGGAAAATTGAAGAGTTGAGGGAGAATTGGGACACAAAGAGGAGCCGTCACTGGCATCATGCAGCCTGCTTTTCAGAGGGACAGAAAAGCCTCCATTTCACACATTTCTCTCTGTGAAGAATGTTGTTAAACCAGCCACTGCCTCATTTGACCACGTTGATGAGAAATCTAAGTATCTCAGTGATGACATTTACTGACTGGCATTTCCTGTTTCTTTTTTTAACAATACCAAACCTTCGTATAGCAATTTGCATTTTACGATATCAGGTGATACCTACTAAACCAATGTTCACACCCAAACAAGGTGCACGATGTCATTAGTAGATGCAGGGGGACAGAGTGACTTCATCCAGACCACACTGTCCAGCTTTGCATACCTGGAACTTATGCACAGGCAATACTGTTGCGATGACAGATTTACTGGTTAATTTTGGCAATTTCTTAATAGGTCAACATAATCCCAGTAGAAGAGTTCATCTGTGGAATTCATTCTCTTACTCACTCAAGAGGCTTAAAAGAGTCATCTTTCCACACTCATATTGCCATCCTATCATGCGCTGAGGAGTCCCCACCATTCTCAGCTGGTGCTGAATAACACTCTTAGAGTCTGTTTCTGTAGAAGGAATAGGTTATGATGGGACTACAAGAACTTCATTCTGGGTTAGGAATCTCAACCTTGCTTTTTATCTGCAAACTCTGTTTGTTTCTTTAACATGTGATGGGGACCCTTTGTGAACCCAAATATAACCAATAAAAATACTAAGGCCTTCAACAAAATGTTCATCCCTTCTTCTGTAGATAAGATAGTTTCCCATGTCAATGCTTTTCTATCTTAGTTGTACTTTCTCATACCACTCTAATCTCATATTAAAAAAGAACACTTGTACTGAGAGGAGTGATTGGAGACACTGGGCATGTATCTCCAATGGACATGTAGAAAAAAAAAAGGGTTGCTCTTATCACAAATAAAACTGTTCCTTAATGATGCAGTCAAGAGGTCGTGGGTCTTTTTTTTTTTTTTTTTTTTTTTTTTTTTTTAGTTTTTTTTTTTTAACATACACTTTTATTTCCAGGGATGTATGAAACAGAGTTTTTCTCCTCTAGTATCTTTTGATCCCTCAGACCCACCATCAACTGTTACAGAGTAGAGCTATGGTCAAACTCTGGAAATGCATCAACTATATTTCTGTATTTTTAATTAGGATAAAAATTGCATCTGCCTCACTGTAGTGCAGGAACCATGAACAGAAGAGCAGAACTAATCCAGCAGACATAGCTCCTAACAGTACCATGTCAGGAAAAGGCAGATGGGAAATGATAGAAAGTCTTTGTCTAACTTGTCTAACAACTTTCAGTTAGAGAAAAATCAGCTTAGACTGAAATTTATTTTAGAAATTGGTCTAACCTATTTCCCGTCCAAGCTGCTAGAAAACTCTCTCTCATCAGGCTAGTGGGAGTCATGACACCTGCTTAGGGAAGACTCCAAGTGTAGAATGATTTGATTATTTTAGGTCATATTTAGGTCAGATCAGTTATCTTCAAGATACCTGGATCCCTGAGCTGCAAGATATGTATGCTGCCTATGTAGTGTCCCCATAATTCAGGAAGAAACAGTCAATGACCTGCTACTCAACTTGGGCACTCACAAGTCTATGGAACCAGATGGGATCTGACCAAGAATTCCAAGGGAGCTGATGGAAGTGCTCACCAAGCCGCACTCCATCATCTATCAGCGGTCCTGGTCAAGGGAGGAGGTCCCAGATGACTGGAGACTTGCCAATGGGATGCCCATCTATAAGAAGTGTCCTATGGAGAATCCATGGAACTACAGGCCTGTCAGCCTGTACTTTATGGAGCAGATCATTTTGAGGGCAATTATTCAGCATGGGGGACAACCAGAGGATCAGGCCCAGCCAATATGGGTTCATGAAAGGTGGGTCCTGCTTGACCAACCTGATCTCTTTCTGTGACCAGTGATCCACCTGGTTGGATAGGCTGTGGACATGGCCTTACGTAGGCTTTCACACAGTCTCCCACTGCCTTCTCCTGGAGAAGCTGGCAGGTCATGGCTCAGACAGCTGGACTCCGCTGGGTGAAGAACTGGCTGGATGGCTGGGCTCAGAGAGTGATAGTGAATGGAGTTAAATCCAGCTGGTGACCGATCACAAGCAATGTTTCCCCAGGAGTCAATGTTGGGACTGGTCCTCTTTGGTATCTTTATCAACAATCTGGATGAGGGGATTGAAGGCACCCTCAGCAAATTTGCAGATGGCACCAAGCTGGGAGGAAGAGTTGATCTGCTTGAAGATTGGAAGACTCTACAGAGGGATCTAGGCAGGCTGGAATGATGGGCTAACACCAACTGTATGAGGATCAACAAAGCCAAGTGGTAGGCCCTGCACTTCAGTCACAACCACACCATGCAGCACTACAGGATTGGGGCAGAGTGACTGGAGGGCTGTGTGGCAGAAAAGGATCTGGGAGTGTGGGTCTAAAGCCGGCTGAACATGAGCCAGCAGTGTGCCCAGGTGGCCAAGAAGGCCAACAGCCTCCTAGCTGGTATCAGGAACTGTGCAGCCAGCAGGACCAAGGAAGTGATCGTCCGCCTGTACTCTGCGCTGGTGAAGCAGCACCTCAAATACTGTGTTCAGTATCCAAAGGAGGGCAACGAAGCTGGGGAAGGGGCTGGAGCACAGACCTTACAAGGAGCAGCTAAGGGAGCTGGGGTTATTTAATCTGGAGAAGAGGAGGCTCAGGGGAGACCTTATCGCTCTCTTACAACCACCTGAAAGGAGGTTGTAGTAAGGCAGGAGTCGATGTCTTCTGCAAAATAAATATGGATAGGACAAGGGGAAATGGCCTCAAGTTGTGCCAGGGGAGGTTCAAGTTAGACCTTAGGAAGAATTTCCACATGGAAAGAGTGGTGAAGCCCTGGAACAGGATGTCCAGGGAAGTGATGGAGTCAATGTCCCTGGCAGTGTTCAAGGAATGTATAGGTGAGGCACCTAGGGACAGGCATAGTGGTGATGGGTTTATGGTTGGACTCGATGATCTTAAGGGTCTTTTTCAACCGAAATGATTCTATGATTCTATATTGACCCAAGCGTATCAGGAGAAAATCTGTGACTGAAAGAGTCATGGTCTAGCTGGAAAGAAAAGGAAGCAAATGGCTGCATCTAATGATTAAAGTGTGGCCTGATAAAGTTCTCAAAGAAATCTGTTTATTCAATTTCAGAGCTTTTAAACTTGGCCATCAGTTTCAGTTCCCCTTAGCATGCCAGTTCTTGTGTTACCCAATACATGCATATTTGAATTGTCATTGTGTCTAGTTTCTTAGAAGAAGTGAATCATTCCAACACACACAGTGTTTTTGAGAAAATCACACCGAATACTAAATTATTCTCATCACCAAGGGAAAAGAGGATCTATGCTGATGCAAGTATTATTCTCTGGTCTAATTGAATAGGATTATCTGTTAAAAGAATTACTCCTGTGAAAGCACCATCTAGCCCCAGATTCAGTTTATATAAGAATGTATAAGCATGAAAACTGCTGAAGTGCATAAAATTCTGTTATCCTTAATTAAGGATCCTTAATTAACTAAAGCTATTCACAAGCTTGCTCCTACCAGTAGGAGAAAAGGACACTAATACATATTCTGCAAATAAGTATTTCTCTTCATATAAACCCAACTCCAGAAGTCATTATCATGTATTTTTAATTGTTTCTTATTTGATTTTGGGATGGATTTGTTGCAAGAGGCAGCTGGGAAAATCCTTCCATCAAAAGCATCTCTGTGTTCTGGAGAGATGTAAGCAAAGCAGTGTTTTCTGTCCGTGGAGCTGTTTTTTTCTGTAGGCTGCATTAAGCCCTAGGTAAGAGGTTTGCAGTGTACTGTATTTGTGTAATAAGGTATTGTTTTCTAAACAGCTTTTGCAGACTTAACCAAAAATAAATGTCCTAGAAGTTAGTGCTGTCATTTATTCACATGTCGCCCTTCTTCTCCCAAGATTAACCAGATAGGAAAAGAGAAAAAAAAAAGGGAAAAAAAAGAAACACACACAAAAAAACCCCTTACAAGACGTGAAAGCTGTTGCCTCATTGGCTTGCCAAGTGCAGCTTCCTGTTGCTGTGTTTGATGAAGCTGTTTCTTGTCACAGAACCAGACACGGGGGACGCTGCCGATGGTATCACCATGAAACCGCCGCGCTGGAGCACATGGCCGCCTAGGTGAGTCCAGCTGCCGACGGGCACCTGCCTTCGCGTGAGGGCTTCAGGCTGCCTCTCCCTTGCTCGGGTGGTCACATCCTACAGCAGGACTCGGGGACTGGAAAGGGCCTGGAAAATCTTGCTTGGAGAGAGGGAATATTTCCCTCCCATGCCAGCACAACTGAAATAGGAGGCAAAAGCGTGAATGATTTCAGAAGATCTAGCGAGAGAAGACTTGCCAGCTTGATTTATTGCTCTGTTGGTATTGCTGTGTATGAAAGAAATATCTATTGCTTAGGAGAGGGGCAGAAAGATAGAGAAGAAAAATATTTGGGAGTGAGTTTTCAGTTTTCTGAGTTGTACAGTCCTTACTATAAAATTGTCTCAGTGTGAGCCTTACAGAGGATTCCAGCAGCGTTTCTACTAATGTTCTCTAATACTTGTACTGTATTAACAAATGCATTACTAGTATTTATCACTTAGCAGAAAAATGAACTGCACTAAAAATAGCATTCTAGAATTCCAAAAATTATTGGTACAGCTTTTTTTTTTTTTTCTTTATGCATAAAATAATACTCACCTGTGTGGGCTACATCCCCCAAAATGCATTTCTTTTTCTGTTTGTGTATAGGGCAGTTCATGTTAGCAGAATTTTATGCTTTATACCATAATGCATTGATCTCTTTTAGACTTTCTTTGGCCTCTTCAATATCAGAAAGAAAAATAGATGAATGTTAACTTTGCATGAGGAAAAACATTGGTCATTTTAAACAAAAAATGGGATAGAGCCCATGTTATTTGAAGATGTATTTCAACTTTCCCAAACTGGGAGGACTTTCAGAATTAAATTTTGGGATCTGCTCATTAAAGATTCAGCTGTGGAAGGTACTTGTACTTGAAAAAGTCAGCTTGGCTCCATAACTTTGTGTAATGACACAAGTTACTGTTGAAATTGGTTTGAAACAAAATAGAGATCAAGAAAACGTCTGTCCTTCCATCTTGTAGCTGTTCTACAACTGCAGCACTACAACATCTGCTTCACAGATCTAGTTCACTCAACATTTTTCCCCCTAAATCTTCTCTACAAAGTACTTGCAAAAGCTTACCAAACTGCAGTGAACATTGCTTGCAGCAATTCTTCCCTTTTAAGAATTTGAATTTGAAATTTAGGACATTTAGCAACATTTATTAGTAGCAAATGCTTTGAAGATTATTGGCCAGCACAACACCCTTTTTTTTTTTTTTTTTTTAATTAACAACTAAATCTTTCTCTTAATAACACAAAAGCTATGGAGTCTTCTCCATCTTTCCTGGTTACCTAGATTATAGAATTCTTTTATCTAAAATGATTTTTTTTAAAAAAAATTCCATTCTTTTCTTAGAAAGTGAATTATGAATAATGTTATGGAATACCCATTTTATGTTTGTGCTTATGAAAGGATAATTTTATGCCAGCTGTGTCCTTCATAAGTTGAGAGACTTACCTAAATTTGTCTTTGAATCTAAGATAGGTACTGTAAGAATGCGTCAATGCAGATATTATCTACAAGGAGTACTTTTCTCTAATAATGTTCACAAGGTTCATCTATGGTTTCATTTACACATGTTCCTTAAAGCATAATGTTTTCTAATCTATATCTCTGAATTTTATTTCTGACTACCGGATGTATTTTATTTTTCTAGAGTTCTCATACAGCAATTTTTCTGTAGCAAACTAACAAAGGGACTAATCATTTCAGAGTCTGACTAGCAGAAAGAATTAACTGAGAAAAAAAATGAACTGGAAATAAAAAAAAAATGCTATGTATTTTTGTGTTGTAAATCTACCTGATTCAAAACCAAGTCTATAAAGTAAGGGGGAAGGCCTCTGAATTGCAGTGAGTTTGGAACATAAATGTTGGACCATTTGATTGTATCTTGAAACAGAAATTCCTTGATAGGTTTTTAGAGAAATCTTAACAATGAGAAAAATTAGCAAAAAGTTACCAAATACAGAGTATCTGTAAAACTCCCGGGCAAAATCAGATAGGAGCACTCCATACTTTAGAGAAAATCTGTGAATGTTTCACATCGTTCAGGTAAGACAAATCGCTAAGCAAGCAAGTCAGTAGAGACAGCTTTCCCTGGGACATGGTCCCAAACAAATGCAATGAAATAGTTGTAGTCAGGAGCAAAAAGCCCTTTCTGCTCTTACGTTTGTGTGTGTGGAGCTACAACACACCCTGTGATACGCTGCATTTGCTGTGTTGTTGGCACACACCAGTATAGGTCATCAATACATGCCAGAATGACACACTTCTTGTTATTGTTCTCATGGAAAGCGTGTCCTCCTATAAATAGGAACAATGTGTCATTGGAGCGAGGACACGGATTCCCTGGAGAATTTAGGCGACCGTCTAGCCAATCACGTTCCTTTGCTAAGCGAAATTATTGATGATGCTATTAAAAAAAAAGAAAACCATGGGGCACTAGGGCTTTTGAGCATGCAGGACAGAAAGAAATTGCTGACATGCTGAATCTCACCTAGTCCCAGCTCTGGATTCTTTGAATCCCAACTTCAATGTCCCAGGCTGCCACGATCCAGTGATACTGTTATATAATATAAACTGTATATATACATGTATATGAATATATATACTGTTATATAATATAAACTGTTGGTTCCTTGAGGCAGATTTCAGAAGAGCAAAGCAAGGTCTCAACCCAAAGAACATGCAGTCTAATTCTAATTGAGGTATTTCAGAATATTTCAGAATATTTAAGGTTGGAAGGGACCTCTACAGATCATCTAGTCCAACCTTCCTGCTCAAGCAGGCACACCTAGAGCATGTGGCACAGGGTGGCATCCAGGCGGGTTT